GGGGCCGCGGTGGTGGCGGCGGCGGCGGCGTTGGGCGATGCGGAACGGAGGCCCGGTGGCGGCATGTTGAGGACGGAGGCGAGCGCCGCCGGTGGGGGGTCCCCCTCCGGTGGGGCGACGGGGGGCGGCGGCGGAGGGGGGTTCCGGAGTGCGTCCCCCCACCGGAATGCCTACGAAGCCACCATCCAGGCCCTGGCACCCACAAAGGAAGCCGACAGCGAAGACGGCAAGAAAAGCCGGGGTAAGAAGTATGGCTCCAACGTTCACCGGATCAAGAACATGTTCCTGCAGATGGGGACGGCGCCCGGCCCCGAGGGCGCCTGCGACCTGGCCAAGGCCAAGGAGAAGCCCGTCCGTCTCTCCTTGCCCCGGGCTGGTAGCCTCAGTGAGAGCATGGACCAGGGCAACCTCCTCAAGCTGGGCACCAGTGTCTCGGAGAGGGTCAGTCGCTTCGACTCCAAACCCGACAAACCCTTCTCCAAGCTGCAGGAGACCCGTAAGATCTTCGAGAGGAGCCCACAGGAGAAGGCTACCACCACCAAGCTCTTGCTACGTAAGGAACGAGCCGGTTTCCAGGACCGTAAGCTGGACGTGGTGGTGAGGTTCAACGGCAGCACCGAGTCCTTGGACAAGCTGGACACGGAGGCCGTCTCGCCCACCGTCAGCCAGCTCAGCGCCGTCTTTGAGAAGGCCGACCTCCGTAACAACCTCCACAAGGCGCCAGGGCGAGTGGGAGGACCACTCAACGCCAAGGTGGTGGGCAAGCGACCTCGAGTCTTCTTGCCAAGCCCCGAGGCCGGACGGTTGGGTGATGGCCATGCTGCCCCAGCACGAGCCAAGCCACCAGAGGAGGAGAAGACAGCGGGGAAGACCAGCCGGCCAGTGGAGAAGGAGACAGCCACCCCACGGGTGCAGGAGGTCTGCAAGATCAAGCCAGTGGAGGTGGAGGAGAGCGGTGAGGCCGAAGAGGAGGAGGAGGAGGAAGCGACGGCAAGAGCGAGTGAACCAGTGGCTGCACCCCAACCAGCCAAGGGGGCTGAGAGTCCGGCGTCCACCGCCCCCCGGCTGGACGGGGGCTCGGCAGTGGCCATGGGCGAGGAGGACATCAAGGGCGAGCGGGCGGAGGAGGGCGATGCCTACGAGGAGGCCAAGAAGGAGGACTTCTCCGAGGCAGACCTGGTGGACATAAGTGCCTACAGTGGGCTCGGGGAGGACTCGGGGGGCAGCGGGCTGGAGGAGGAGGAGGAGGCCGAAGGGCTGTACGAGCCCGAGTCGGGTTGTGTGGAGATCCCCGGGTTGTCCGAGGAAGAGGAGCCCGTCCCCAACCGCAAGATCCAGTTCAGCACGGCCCCCATCCAGGTGAGATGGGCTGGGGGGACTGGGGATGGAAGGGCAGCTGGGGATGGCAGGGGGGACACCCTGGGGTGGGGGGCAACTGGGGATGGGGAGGTAGCCTGGGGTGAGGAGCAGCCCAGGGTTGGGGGTACCTCAGGGTGAGGGGTACCCCAGGGTGAAGAGCACCCCAAGATGAGGGGCAGCCCAGGGTTTGGGGTACCCCAAGATGGGGGGTACCCTAGGATGAGGAGCACACCAGGGTTAGGGGTACCCCAGGTGAGGAGGACCCCAAGGTGAGGAGCACCCCAGAGTGAGGAGCACCCCAGAGTGAGGAGCACCCCAGGGTGGGGGCCAGCCTGGGGTGGGATATATGCTCCCCCCCAAACAATGCCCTTTGGGGGGGCTGGTGCCAGGGACAGAGATGTGGGGTGGGGGTCTGTGCCCCCCTTGCGCCCCTAGCCCTCTTGGCCATGCCCGTGCACTGGAGGAAGGAGGGTGGCCTCCTGGGCCTGGCTAACGAGACGGCTAACGAAAGGCCCTGCCCTGGCATGGCCTAGCCCCCCCCCACCAGTGAGGGGCCACCCTGGGGCCAGTGTGATGGGGCGAGGTGACACTGGGACCCACTGGGGTGGCCATGCAGGGCACCCAGTGCCAACCCACCGCTGTCTCCAGACAGGCCAGGAGCCGCCCCCATATTTTGGGTGGGGATGCCCGAAATATCCGGGTATGGGGTGCTGGGTGCGGTGGCCACGCCGCCACCCTCTGCTCTTGGTGACTGAGGGAGGGGGGGTCCCTGGGTGCCGGGGCTCCTCCCAAAGTGGGGGTCCCCGAGGATGAGGTGGCATTGGGGTGGGTATTTGCCCCCCGCCACGGGCCCAGCCCGGTGCCCCGGACCGTTTCGGGAAGTGAAGGAAGGGGAAGTGTCTCAGCGGCATGGCCAGGAAGGGAGGACAGCATCCCCCGTGTGTGTGTGTCCCCCTCTCCAATTCCCCGGTGGGGATGCCAGCTGGGGTGGGGGGTCCCCATCTGGGATGCTCCCCCAGTGATGGGGCCGGGGGCGGGGGGGGGAGAAAAGGGGATGTGGCAGCTATTTCGGGGTGTTCTCTCCCCCTCGAATCCCCCCGACCGGAGGAGAAGCAGCGATTGCTTTGTGCCGGAGCTGGGTTATTTTTAGAGCCCCCGGCCTATATTCTGGCTCTGAGTCAGAGCGGGTGGGTGGCCCCACCTGGGACCGGGGGGACGGGGACTGCCGTGGCCCAGGCAGGGGGACAACGCTGTGCTGGGGGGCTGCATGGGGGGGGGGTGGGTCTTGGTCCCGTGGGAACCGGCCAGCCCAGCCCTGGGAAGGGTGTCCCCTCCCTGGCCATGGATGGGCAGCTGGGCTTTTTGGGGTGCTCCCCCCCGCCCCAGCACTGCTTTCAACCTCTTGCTTTTACCCCCCATGTCCCACCGCAAGGGTGATGGTGGGGGTCCCATACGCAGGTGGGGAGGGGGACCCAGGTATCCGGGAGGCCCAGCTCCCCCCCCCTGCCCCCCTCCAGGTGCATGGGTGATGCTGAGGCCCCCCAAACCCACTGTGGTGGTGGGGGCCGGGAGCGCTGGAGACCCCCACCCAGCCCCAGCATGGCCCCCAAAAGGAGCACCCTGTACCCAGGGATGGGGGGCACACTCTGCCAGCCCCCTCCCCTGGGCATGTGCTGACTCTGGCTGCTTCTCCCTTGGACCCCACTCCAGACCCCCGCCATGTCCCAAACACCCCAGGATGCTGGGGACAGGTTGGGAGGGCACAGCAGGGTGAGCCGGGATGTGTCCCCTTGGGCTCGGGTCCCCACAGCCCCCCTGGGGATGACATGCAAACAGGGGGGACGGGGGCATGTCCCCTGCCCTGCTGGTCCTCGGCACCCCTGGGTGCCACCAGGGTGGGTCCTGCCCGTCTGTGGGTGTCACCAGGCTTTGTGCGATGGCCCTTGACACTCATCCCTAATACCCTCCATGGCCAGGCTTTAGCCCTGCCGTGTTATCCCTAATCCACTCGCCCCAGCGGCATTCCCGTGCCGAGGCCCCTCCGGGGACATCTGCCAGGCTCAGCCACCCGGCTGGTGTGTCCCCATCCCGAGGGGGGTGCCGGCAGCCTCCGGGGGTGCAGGGACATGGCATCCCGCTCCCTCCGGCTCCAGGCTGGGGACATCGTGCTGGTGCCACATCCAACCTCGCCCAGGGACACCTCGGTGCCCAGCATGGGGACACTCAACCTCGGGGTGAGCATGGGGGTGCCCCCAGCCCCCTGGAGCTGAACCAGGCATTTAGAGGTGCCCCATGACAAGGGTCAGGTTCCCCAAGTGCTTTACTGTGTTAGTGTCCCCTGCCCATCCCCATCCCCGCTCCCTTGGGACTGAAGGTGGCTGGGGACATCTGTGTCCCCAGGAGGACATGGGGGCAGCCCCAGCCCCATGGTTGAGCCCTCCTCGGTGCCCAAGCTTAAGCGTCCTACAAGTGACACCTGATGGGGAGAGATGGAGACCTGGGGAGGGGGTGACCCGTGGACCTCCAAGGTCTGCAGAGTCCCCTGTGCCCAGGCGTGTGCCTGGAGGTGGAACCTGCTGGGTGGAAGCCCAGGGGAATAAACCAACCCCAGACTTATAGTGGGATTTCTTCTCTCCTGGGCACGATGGTGGGTTTGGGTCCCTGGGGTCCGGGCTGGCCCGTGGAGGTGCCCAGACAGGGGTGAGGAGCAGGGAAGGGCAGAGGAGGTGAGGCTCCCCCAGGGAGAGAGCCTTTCCCTGCTCCTGCAGGCCAGTTTGGACCATGAGAAGGTGGTGGGCCTAGAGCTGGGGACCCCCTGCCTGGGGAAGGGGGAGGATGAGGGGAGCAGGGGGAAAAAGCCAGTTCTTCCCTCCCCAAACTGTCACTCAGAGCAGCCAGTGCTTGTACACCCTGTCTGTCCATCCGTCCATCCATCCTTCCTTCCTTCCATCCATCCATCCTTTCTTCCTTCCTTATATCCATCCTTCTAGCCGTCCTTCCATCCATCCTTCCATCCTTCCTTCCTTCCATCCATCTGTCATTCCATCCATCCACCCCTTTGTCCATCCCTCTGTCCATCCATCCGTGGGGTGCACCATCTCTGCTCCCGGGACCACCCCAAACCCTCTATGTGTCCTCAAACTCCCCCTTCACTCCATGATAAGGTTTGTGGGGGGATTCTCCAGTGTCTCGTAGCTTCAGTAACAGCCCCCGTGCCCCTGCCTGGGGCTCCCCTTGCCCAGGATGCCCCCTTGGTTGTGGGTGCTGTTGGTATTGAGGTGGTGGGTGGTTCCTACCCCATCCCACCCCCTCGCTGAGGAGCTCCTTCCACCCTGGCAGGTCTTCAGCACTTACTCCAACGAAGACTACGACCGCCGCAATGAAGACGTCGACCCCATGGCCGCGTCGGCTGAGTACGAGCTGGAGAAGAGGGTGGAACGGCTTGACCTCTTCCCCGTGGAGCTGGAGAAAGGTGGGTCCTCACCTCATCCTGCACCCTGGGGACAGGTTGGAGGCGACTCCAGTGGCGTTGGGTGGCTGCTGCCACCCCTCCAGGACACGGCTCTCTGTCTCCGCAGACTCTGAAGGGCTGGGGATCAGCATCATCGGCATGGGCGCGGGGGCCGACATGGGTCTGGAGAAGCTGGGCATCTTCGTCAAGACGGTGACGGAGGGGGGGGCAGCCCACCGGGACGGCAGGTAAGGGGCTGCCCGGCCTGAAACACCCACCTGGGTCCCCTCTGCCGTTCGCCCGAGGGTTTGGGTGGTGGTGGAGTAGATGGTGCGGGAGCGGGCAGATGTGCCAGATGTTCTCCAGGGGTGGGAGATGCCGGGGAGGTGGGCAGGGGGTGTGACGGTCCCCTTGTCCCCAGGATCCAGGTGAACGATCTCATCGTGGAGGTGGATGGCACCAGCCTGGTGGGGGTGACGCAGAGCTTCGCCGCCTCCGTCCTCAGGAACACCAAGGGACGCGTCCGGTAGGGTCTGGGGCTGGGGGATTTGGGGGGGCTGGGAGAGCCCCACAGCCTGTACTGGGCCCCCTGAGGCACCCTGCCCCATAGCCTGTCCCCAGAGAACTCCAGCTCCCCAGCTGGGCTGTCCCCCTGCCCCAAAACACCTCTGCCCCCCTAGTCCCCATGCCCACTGCCTGCCCTGTGCCACTCTGGTGCCCCCAAAATGCTCCCACAACAGCCCAGGATCTGCTCCCCCCACAGTCCCTCAACTCATCCACAGGCCCTATAACATCTCCCCCAAATTTGCCACCCCCAGGAGCACTGCCTGTCCCAGCAAGGTTGTCCCCTGGCTGTGCCACCTGGGTGTCCCCAGGCTGAGCCTCCCCACTGGCCCAGGTGTGCCAACTGGGTGTCCCCCACCCCAGACCCCTCCACGGTCGAAGTCCCCCCCCATCCCTGGCTGAGCCCCCACCATCCCCGCAGGTTCCTCATCGGCCGGGAGAAGCCGGGGGAGCAGAGCGAGGTGGCCCAGCTGATCCAGCAGACACTGGAGCAGGAACGATGGCAGCGGGAGATGATCGAGCAGCGCTACACCCAGTACACCGAGGATGATGAGGAGGTGGGGGGGGGACAGAACACCTACCCAGGAGGGGACAGACGTGGTGCCCCCCATTCCTGGTGACTCACTTTCCCCAGGTGGGATGGGGTGGGGGTGCCAGGCTGGGGACCACCAGGTGCCAACGTGACTCCGTGCCCTCCGCAGACGGGCGAGTACGCCACGGATGATGAGGAGGAGATGAGCCCCATGTTCCCCAGCAGCGAGATGGCCATCGAGGTGTTCGAGCTGGCCGAGAACGAGGACACGCTCTCCCCCGTGGAGATGGACCCCGAAAAGCTGGTGCACAAGTTCAAGGAGGTGAGGAGGGGACGTGGGGGAGGGCTGGGGGAGGGGGGTGTCACGCACGTGGCAGTGTGTGTGCACACCCAGGAAGTGGTGTGGGGACGTGCCCACCCCGTGCCAACGCCCGGCTCCTCTTGCAGCTCCAGATCAAACACGCTGTCACTGAGGCCGAGATCCAGCAGCTGAAGAGGAAGGTGAGCGGGTGCCCCAGCTCCCGGCGGGCAAGAGGGACCCCCCCTCTCTGTCCCCCCAAGCCCCCCAGATCTCCATCTCCCCCCCGGATCCCTCACCACGCCATGCCATGCCGTGCTGTGCCATGCCTGCTCCCTGGCTGTGCCGTGCCATGCTGTGCCAAGCCATGCCATGATGTCCCATGTGACGTCATGACTGGTCTCTGGCTATGCCGTGCCATGTCATGCCTACCCCTGGCTATGCCATGTCATGCTGTGCCATGCCGTGCCATGCTGTGCCATGTCATGACTGGCCCCTGGCTATGCTGTGCCAAGCCATTCCACGCTATGCCATGCCATGTCATGCCTTGGCTATGGTATGCCATGCTGTGCCACGCTGTGCTGTGATGTGCCATATCATGCCATGCCATGTGGTGTCATGACTTGTCCCTGGCTATGCCATACCATGCTCTGCCAAGCCGTGATGTGCCGTGCCGTGCCACATCATGCCTGCTCCCTGGCTCCACCATGCCATGCTCCGCCATGCCCTGACCCTGCTGTCCCCCAGCTGCAGTGCCTGGAGCAGGAGAAGGCACGCTGGCGGGCCGAGAAGGCCCAGCTGGAGCAGAGCGTGGAGGAGAACAAGGAGCGGATGGAGAAGCTGGAGGGGTACTGGATGGAGGCGCAGAACCTCTGCCAGGCTGTGGACGAGCACCTCAAGGAGACGCAGGCCCAGTACCAGACCCTGGAGCGCAAGTACAGCAAGGCCAAGAGGCTCATCAAGGAGTACCAGCAAAAGTGAGGGCAGCGCCGGGACCTGGGCACCGAGCATCCCCCTGGGTGTGGAACCATCCCTGGGACACCAACCCCTTCCCAAGCACCCCTTGTCCCCAAGCACAGACCATGCCCTTGGGCATGAACCATCCCCTGGGCATGGACCATCCCCTTGCTGTGGACTCACTCGTTGGGCACCAACCCCTTCATGCCCTGGGCGTGCCTTTGTCCCTGGGCAGAAACCCATCCCTGAGGCACCAGGGCATCCCTCATGACTGGGCATGGACCACCTCCTGGGAAGGGACCATGGTGTGGAGCAAGGACCATCCTCCACGCAGGGACCTTCTCCTTGATGTGGACCCATCCCTGGGACACTAGAACCTTCCTGGGCATCTCTGGGCAGGGACTGTCACCTGAGCATGGACCATCCCCTTGATGTTGACCCATCCCTGGGGCACCAACTTCTTCCTGGGCATCCCTCATCCCTGAGCAGGGACCATCCCCTGGGAGATCCCACAGTCCTCCCCTGACACCCAAGTCCTGGGGTCCCCCCTGACCTGCCCCACCTCCCTGGTGGCCCCCGATGCTGGGTGGGTGTGGGGGGGTGATGAGCACCCACGCTCTGCCCCACCTTTCACCCGCAGGGAGATTGAGTTCCTGAAGAAGGAGACGGCGCAGCGGCGGGTGCTGGAGGAGTCGGAGCTGGCACACAAGGAGGAGATGGAGAAGCTGCAGGAGAAGGTGGGCACCGGCCGCCGGGACGCGGGCTGCCCCTGAGCCCCGCGGGCAACGGCCGGCCCCGGCTTTTGGCCCAGCCGTCGCCCGGCCCCCGCTCCGTCACGCCGCTGCCGCCGCCACCCCGAGGATCGCCGCGGCCCCACGGCTTCCCGATGATCGGCGCTGGATCCCAGGATGGATCGCAGCAGATCCGCTCGGGCCGCTGGATCCCACGCCGGGCGGTAGCGGAGCTGCGTGGGGGGCCGCCCCTCACCCCCCATCTCTGGACTGAGCTCTGGCCGCCGGATCCCGCACCGGATTGCGTAGGGGAGGGTGGTGGATCTGCTTTAGGCACCAGATCCCAACTGGATTGTGCTCTCTCTCCCACCACCGGATCGCAGGGTGGGGGGGGGGCGGATCTGCTGGGATGCCAGAGTGTACCCCCATCCTCCTGCCGGCACTGAATCCCACACTGGGTCACAGTGGATCTGCCTGGGGTTTGGGGTGGCGGCAGATCCTGCTCCGGGGTCTGGCATCCCATCGTAGATCAAAAAGGGATCTTTTCTCGGGCACCGGATCCCAGGCTGCTGGGGTGGGATCCACCCCCCCACCCCCCGTGGTCCCCGGTCGATCTGCACCCGGCTGCGGCGTGACGCTCCATTCTCCCTTGGGAGCTGGATCCCATGCTGGTCATGCTGGATCCCACAGCGGCTCACACTGGATTCCATGCTGCCAACACTGGATTCCGTGCCCCCTCTCCCTATTCCCCCCCCCTTCTTCCCTGAGCTGGGGGCGGGGGGGGCAGAGCTGTGCTGGGTCATAGCAGATCTTCCGCGGGGTCACCGGATTCCCTGGGAGGCTGCCGTGGGTCGCAGTGGGGGGGCTGGCACCCCACCCGGTTGGGGGGCACCAGAGGGGGTCCCCTAGCACCCAGCAGAGCCCCCCCACATCCCCTCCCCCCCCTTATGCCCTCCTCCATCACCCCCAAAATGTCC